CTCTCTCTCTCTCTCTCTCTCTCTCTCTCTCTCTCTCTCTCTCTCTCTCAGCTCTTCTCCCCTTCTCCCTTCCCCCTCCATAACCCCACGAATAAATATTCAACCTCACTCTGCATGGCATCCCTATCCATGTCTCTGTCTCTTGCCCGCCCTTCACATGTCTCCCTGCCTGGGACCAGCCACCGCTAGGGACAGACAGCCATCTTTGCCTGAGACTGGCTACTCTCAGGGTCCGCTGCCTGCCACCACATGGTCCGCTACCACCACTTGGGAAACTACAGCATTTCTGCTGCCTGCTGCCACCAGGGATCCTGCAGCATTTTTAATTTTTCCATAACAGAACATACATCAAGAAATCAAAGGATCCAGGAAACAACTAGGGTAGAGCAGTCTCAGAGTGAGAAGAAGGCAGTCCACTTCGGAAAGTGGCCAGTGAAGTTGGGAATGGAGAAACTAAACAGTTCTCAGATGAAGAACTAGTCCAGGAGGTCATCAGCTTAAACTTCACCATGGTACAAAATCAATGAGAAGACAATGAAGATTCAAAAGATCCATTATTATAAAGGACATAAAAATTAAAATAACAATTCTCATTTTTCATTACATTCCAATTCTGATTTTCACAAATACTTATGCCACCAAATAATAACACATCAACAATACCTAATGAGTAAAACATACAAAGTAACTCTATTTATGGGTTCTTCATTTAATGGATTGATTCATCAGAGATAAAAATATATTTTAAAACATTCAAAGAACTGCCCATACCTCAACCACTGAGAAGGACATGGTATCCGGAAATAGATATGCAAGACACATGGGAAAAGACTGTCAAATCTTGCCAAGACAGGGTAAGACAGTTCTAAAAAATGTCCTGCTTCTAAAAATGGTCTGTCAGTTATGCTAGGCCTTAGCCAAAGTTGGTTGCTTCAACGTTGCAAAATGAGACTTTGGGTGATTGCTCAGGTAGCTAATTGTCTCCATCATATAGTGCTTACTTTGGAAGCCGCTGAATTGCACTTCCTGCCTGCTCAAGTAATATTACTTCCCTCTCAGATCTTTGGTGGGGTTGAAGATTAGATAATCATAGCTACATTCCTCTTATGATTTAGCCAAGCTTATTTCTGATATAATATTTAGACTCTTTGTAATAGAATGTTTATTAAAACATTTGTCATGTGTTCTTTGCTCAATATTACTCATGTTGTTTGTAATTTTATACTTGATACCTGTTCCTATTGTATATAGTTTTGTATTGGGTTTGGATTGCTTTTGTTTAGACAAAAGGAAGAGATGATGGGGAAAGCCTTGCTAACCAATAATCTTTAAGAGGTGGAACCTAGTTTAGGAGTGGATTTCTGGGATCAGGAGATAGAAACCTGTGTACCACCCAGGTGCGCTCTCTGTGTAGTTTCCCCAGTGGTCAAGCAGAGCCTGGATCTTCCGTACCTGTGGCATGAGTTTTCCCCTTTTAATAAATAAAATATATTTGCCTATCTTTCAGTTAGCCTAGTTATTTCCATATCTAGGTAACAGCTTCACATGCTCAGACATTTTCCTTATTATTTCCTAAAAATATTATGTATTCCAGAAGTGATTTGCAGTAGACAGAAGGATGTGTGCTGGATGGATACAGAGACCAAGGTATCTTTATAAGTGACTTGAACATGCCTAGATCTTGCTATGCTAATGAAGGAAGTATTTCATCTGGGCTCTGTGTCTAGTCAATCCCACAACCTGCCCGTCATCAGAATTCTCAGGTCCCAGTCAGACAGACCTTCTGATGAAAAGGTAGAAGGATCAGACAAAGCATTTACACTTTAACAGGATTCTAAAACATAAACTATTTTTACTTTACAGATCACTAAACAGCTCTTAAAGCAGTAGTTCTCAACCTGTGGGTCAAGACTACCACGGGAAGTTAGATGATCCTTTCACAGGGGTTAGCTAAGACCAGTTAAAAACACAGATGTTTACATTATGACTCATAACAGTAGCAAAATTACAACTATGAAGAAGCAATGAAAGATTTATGGTTGGGAGTATTACAACAAGGGTCAGAGCATTAGGAGGGTTGAGAACCACTGTCATGAAGTGTTTCCGAAACCTATTTCTTCAGTTTTTTTATTTTGTGAAATTGGGCCTCACTATGCAGTCCAAACTAGTCTTGAACTCATATTTCCCATCTCTGCCTTGGAGACCTCCAAGATCCAGTTCTCTTGGACAAGACAACTCAATAAGCCAAGTTGGGTCAAGAAGGAAGTCAGTAAGGTATCTCCTTCAACTACATGATCTCTTTTAAATCAATCAGGGTTTAAAAAATTTAAGTGTCATATACTTGTTCCCTTTACACATATAACTAGAAATGCATAAAACAAGGGTGGAAATCAAAGAGCAACAAGCTTAGCAATTCTCAAATTACAAAGTAATTAAACCATTGATGTGTAGATATATGATAAACTTTTTTAGCTGATTATGTATTATGCAATGAAGACTATTAAACACTAAAAACATTAACCCTGAAAACCTCATAAGCACCTACATAAGATTATTCGGCAGGCCCCATATTCCCTGATGAAATCTTAAGACATATATTGATAGTCAAGGTCTAAATGCAAGTGATGGAACACCTATCATGTTCTGATCATGACATATGGAGTCCAGGAAGTTCTGGAGAAATATTGAGTTACCCAACTCACAATCACAATTCAGTCACAGGGGAGCCATATAATAAAACATTATTTTTCATAAAATGCTCAGATATAACTTCCTTGCTAGAGGGAATTATTGATATGGACCTAAATGAGAAGTTCCAATCATATATAAATAATCTACTGAGAATAAACACTACATAAAGATGACAATGTCTTCCATGCAAAATATTAAAACTGACTTCCACAACAGTATGAAAACTTACAGGGCATAAAAAACCAAATAACTATAGTTAACCTTTTCTACACTCTGGAAAACTTTCTCAAAGAGCAATTTCGGAACACGATGAAAATAAACGCAGCACTAGCATGCTTGAAGCTAAGGAGGGGCTGCACCTTTCTCCTCATAGTCCTTCTCTGCCTGCTTCCCTCTGCCAGAGCAGTCACAAGGAAAGAAAATTAATGGTAAAAGTCACGTTATCTGGATTTGAAAGTGATACATAGTTTTAGAAATTCATGATGAAATTCACACAATAAATTTCATATTAAAAACTAATGAGAATGTAACTAGCTAAACCTAGAGCTTAGACATGCCATACATTTAGAAATCAGTTGTTTCTTTTCAAAGAACCACGGCTCATTATAGTTGAGAAAAGTAAAGAAATGAAAGCAGAAGAACACTGTCATACTTAAAACACTATTCCCACTTAAAAGGGAAAAAATGCCTTACTATACTCATGTTCTTCAAAAGGACTGCACAAATCAATTGTCTATTAACTCAAAAACTTTTTCTCCCAGAGACAGCATTTCTCTGTATAGCCCTGACTGTCCTGGAACTCCTTCTGCAAACCAGGTTGGCATTTAACTCACAGAAATCCACCTGCCTCTGCATCCTACGAGCTGGAATTAAAGGTGTGCACCAGCACCACCTGGCTCAAGACTTTAGACACAGTTTCCTACATTTGCTTTTATGTGATATTCATATTGACAAGTGTTCTACAAGAGGCAAAGCAGGCATCCTAGGGTGGGTGATAAAATTACATGGGACATTTCCCCAAGGAGTCACTGCTGCAAGCTCCCAATTTGTTTATTATTATTTTCAAATACTTATTGGACTGTGAATATATTTTGCAAATAATGTTCTCTCTAAAATACACACAATCACTGTATTATAACCACAAGTGAAAGCACTGGACACGGAACTCACTACCTTTAACATGAAATAAGAGAGAGTTAAAAAAAAGACCACTCCCTGTGTTATTTTAGTCTAAACTCCAATTTATTAACTGAATATTTAATTGCCCTGATTTCTTAACAGAGTAATTGCTTACTTCAATTTTTCTAAAATCACAATTAAAGTTAGCACACATTTGTGACAAGTGGATCATCAATTAACTTAAGAAACTCAATATGGAACATTTGAAGATTTAGGAAGTCTATAACAAAAGTATTCTATAAGATTTGGCTTAACTGTTCCTATGATATTGGGGTAACAGAAAACTGAACACATCCAAATATTTATTGTGACACTGTATGCAAGATGTACAACTTTAATTATAAGATGTACTGTCATTTTTAGAAATAAATTGGATACATAGACACACATACTATTACTACATACCTTTTCTACCTTAAATATTTTATACAAGATGACACTTTTTCTGATGAATATATGTCACTGAATCGAAAAGAAACATATACTTTTTGATAATTGGCTGTTTACTGTATAACTTAAGAAAGAGACATAAGAAGAGCAGTTGATCATGAAAACAACACTAGACTAAAAAAATTACTTCTGAAATATTACATTTTTACATTCTACATGTTTGTTTTCAGCTTAGAACATTTTAGTTGTGGACATCAAAATACTTTTTAAATGCCAAAAACATTTACTTATTCTATTTTTCCTCACCAAACAGATTACCCATTATCAGCAAGTTTCCTTTAATGTCTACCCTAATTAGAGAAGGAAAGTAAAGCAGTCGTGTTTGTTTCTGGTCACAAGTATTCATTGGTGACATTCTGTAATAGTTAAACTCATAGTTCATACAGTTAAACAAAGAAAGCATTCATTTCAAAGACATCTAAACCTTTATGTGCTCAATACTCCTAAATTTTCCCACATAACCGCAAAATAATAATCATCACATAAAAAGGTAAATAATGACTTAATAATACGATTATGCATAGAATATACTTCTGGAAAAGACAAATTACAATACGCAATAAAACAGAACTATAAAATGCCCCCCAAACAAAGGAAGTTTCACTTACATCCACAGCTCTCTTAATGAAAGGTATCTGTGTACCACTGTCCAGATCTTCATTAATAATTAGCCTTCTAGCCCACTGACCTGCCCTGACAACACCACTACCATGAATTAAAACCATCAGTTTCTGTGGATTTGTCAAAGCATCCTCACTCATAAAGATAAAACTCTTTGGTTCACTGTCAGTGGCATCTACCTGTAATCAAAAAAAAATTAAATAATAAATAAAATATTTCTCAATCAAGCATACACACAATGAGAAAACAACTAATGGCTACTACAAATTATTGAATGATTATTATAGAAATTTTTTTAAAAAGCATTAAAATATTCCGTGGACAAGCATCACAAGACAGCAATTTAAATATAAAAATACATGAAAAAGAATTAAAATAGGGATTCCTACATTTTATTATATATTTATTATTGCATTGCCATCTTAAACTGAAATAATTAATTTTTAAATGCTTCCTGTCATTCATATTTTAACTGTGTTTTTCACCCACATTTACTCACAATCCATTTGAGTCACTAATAAATAATCATCAAAAAATGATAAAATTACATTTAGAAAAACTTAAGTTATAGGTTTATACAGCATGTAGTTTATAATTCTGTAACTGAATCACATTGCACCTGTGATAAAAATTGAAAACTCAAACTGGAATATATAGCTATTTAAGTAGACAAAGCACTGCAAACATTCAAATTGTAAACATGGACACACACAACAGTAACACGTACATTCTGACACCCTATCTATGAATCACTTACTTATGGATTACTACTACACAGGTGCTCAGCTAGATTTCAAAGATACAAGAGATATTAGGAAAAGCCGATTTCTGGACCTTTTATGGGATATGTATAGCAGGCTCTGTGGTAGTCTACATTGTAATGGCCAGTACTCAGAATGGAAGCCAAATACACCAAGTTAAAACCACAACTGACAACTAGTCATGTGCCCTCTGCCCACAAGATCACAAATAAAGGATCAGTCTAACACACTGTATACTGTACTAACAGTTCACTCCAGCAACAACACATGTTCATACAATTATCAAAGTTACAACAGCACAGACATACAACTCCACAGAATGCTCTGGAATTCAATATAAAATTTAAAACTCTAAATTTTTCAAGTCATTCACAACACACAGGAATAGAAAATAAACCTTCTCTATTTTTAAAACAATATTGGTCTCATTATCTAATCCTGCTTTTATGTAAACAGAACACAAACAGCAACTGGTTTAGTAGGAATAGAATGAGTTGAGCTTAAGAACAGTCACTATTGTTCAGTAATGCCCTCCATGTCTACAATTAACTCTTAAATGTTTTACCTTGAATTCTGTAGTCCCTTTCTCTGTCTTACTCTCCTTCATGGCACATATAAAAAACAAACACTATATAGTCTTTCATAGATAGATAGATGGATAGATAGATAGATAGATAGATAGATAGATAGATAGACAGACAGACAGATAGATGAAAGATGGGTGGATGATAGATAGATAGACAGACAGACAGGCAGACAGACATAGATGATAGATGTGTGCATGCATGTACATGTGTGTGTGTGCATACTCATTCATCCTCTGCTCTCTCCCCTAAAAAGTAATTCTAAGAAAAATTAACATTTTATTTTGTTTTGTATTTTTGTTTTTTCAAGACAGGGTTTCTCTGTGTAGCTTTGGTGCCTGTCCTGGAACTAGCTCTTATAGACAGGGCTGGCCTAGAACTCACAGAGATCCCCTTGCCTCTGCCTCCCGAGTGATGGAATTAAAGGTGTGCACCACCACTGCCCAGCAACATTTCATAATTTATATTTAGCTACATTCTAGGTTTAGTTCAGGGCCTAGCATCTTATAGGTACTCAGTAAATAAAGAACAAACTTTTGAAATATGGAATCTTATTATTGGTAGTGATGTCCTTTAGATGAAAAGAATTTAAATAATTCAAAGCATTCATATGTAGAATACACAAAACCTATAAAAATCTCAACAAAAAAATTAATTTTTAAAATGGGCTACAGATTTGAATAATGAGTTTTCAAAAGAAGACATTAAAAATGGCTGATAATAAGCACCAGCAATCCATTTGAAGAGAGAGAGGAGGGATTATACGAGCAAGAGGGTCAAGATCATGACAGGGAAATCTACAGAGACAGCAGAACCAAGTTCTTGGGAACTCACAAAGTTTAGAACCACACCTGTGGATACTGCATGAAACCAAACTAGGCCCTCTGCACGTGACAGACAGTGGCGCAATTTGGTCTACCTTAGGGGTCCTTGGCAGTGGGATGAGGATCTATTCCTGGTACATGAACTAAGGATTGGAGCCTATGATGGGATGCCATGTGCTTAGCTTTAATGCAGGGGGAAATGAACTAGAAGCTTCCTCCCAGCTGACTTGCTTTCAGAATCCTGAAAGACACTGTGTAATCTCCTGAGGAGGAAATGGCATTAACCATCTTAACCAGATACCCTATGAAGTGTAATGCTAACCTTCTAGGCAAGATGTTCCCACTGGGCAGGAGATGGCACAGCTGAGAGCATTCTTGTTAGCCTATGTTTGTGCAGAATATAAGCATGACCATGACAGGGCCATTCTTCTATTTCCCTAAGTGCTGTCACAGTAACCATGGGAGGGGAAGGGGGCCTCTACTTTGACTATGAAACTAAAGCTTACTTTATTAACAGGGAAAAATCTGGTAATATTCTTTTATTATAAGAGAAAAGAACATTCTCTTAGAAAACAAACACCCAGGTTTCTTGTTAGCCCCATACTGGTATCTCTTTTCTTGTTCTCTGTCTCGCTCCTTCTTCATCTTGACCATCCAGTTTCCTCTAGTTCTGCTCCTCCCTCCCCTTCTCTCCTCCTTCTCCCCTTTTGTCTTTCCTTCTCCCCTCCACACCCCCAGGCTTCCAATTTTCTCAGGAGCTCTACTCTGTTTTCCCTTCCCCAGGGAATATATGTATGTTTCTCTTAGGGTTCTCCTTGTTACTTAGCTTCTCTAGGGTAATGAACTATAGGCTCCCAATCCTTTGCTTTACAGCCAGTATTTATCAATGAATGGGTACATACCATGCTCATCTTTCTGGATGTGGGTTACTTCACTCAGCATGGTTTCTTCTAGTTCCATCCATTTGCATGCAAATTTCAAGATGTCACTGTTTTTTATTACCAATGAGTAGTACTCCACTGTGTAAATGAAGCTAGCAAGAAATCTGGCACTAGAGAAATTCCCAGGAATCCACAAGGATGACCCTAGCTAAGATCCTAGGAAATAGTGGAGAGGGCTCCCAAACTGGCCCTGTCAGGTAGTCAGATTGATGACTATCTTACATGTCATCATCCAGCAACTGATGGAAACAGAGGCAGAGACCTGCATCAGAGCACTGAACTGAGCTCCCCAAGTCTGGTTGAAGAGTGGGAGGAGGGAGAAAATGAGCAAAGAGGCCAAGACCACAAAAGGGACACCCACTGAAACAGTCTACCTGAGCTAATAATGGGAGCTCACCAATTCCAGCCCCACAGGAAAGAAACCAGCATAGGACCAAACTAGACCCTTCTAAATGTGGTTGACAGTTGTATGGCTGGGGCAGACTGAGGGGCCACTGGCACGGGCACCAGGATTTATCCCTACCTTATGTACTGGATTTTTGGAAAACCCATTCTCTGTGGATGGATACCTTGCTCATCCAAGATAGAGTAGGGAGGGCCTTGGACCTTCCTCAAAACAAAGTGCCTTTACCCTCTCAGAGGAGTGGAAGCGGGATGAGTTGGGGGATTAAGTGGAGGGAATAGGAGGATGGGAGGGAGTGGGAACTGGGATTTTTATGTAAAATGAAAAAAGACAGTTTGTTTTCTTAAAAAAATATTAATGAAAATACCAAGTACCCAATAAAATATCAAGTAATAAAAAAAGAGAGAAAGAAAACAAACACCCTGGCTGTCAATTCATACTTAAGAGAACTCAAGAAAAAGTAATAGTTATTGAAAAATAACTTTCATATTATATAAAGTGATCATTTAGAAAAGACAGATTTTTTTAAAGTTTACAAAATAAGGGAAGATTTATTAAGCAAAATGAACACAGTAGTAATTTCATGCCTATGTAACACAAAAATCTCTCAAAATTTAATTTTTTATTGTTGCATCAAAAGTTTTTATTAATTATGTTTTTTACAAAAATTTCTGTTCTCATCAAGATGTTACATCTCACCCCTAGGCAGCAATACAGAACTATAGATAAAAGAGGAGATCAGGGAGCAAGAGCGAAATTCCTCCCAGGGACAGGCAAATCTTTTGTTTATACAGTGTCAAATAGTCTGTCCTTTGAACAAATGTGAAAGAAATTTATGCAGACTCAAAAAGTCATTTAAGAATATATATGTATATACAAATACATACATGAATGCAGGAGCATTTAATGAAAATAGAGGCAATGAATTTGAAGTGTATCTGAAAGTTAGAATAACAACTAAATATAACACATATTGTCACCAACAGTTGCTTTCTATAACAGGAAACTATATTTACTATCTTTAACCTCTATCTATAGAAAATACAGGCAAATTACCTAAGGACAAACATTCTATATCTCATTGTAACTTTTCTGAACTTTCAGGATAATTTAAACTATGCATTATTTCTTCTTTTTTATCAAATTTCATATTTACAACTAATAAAATTTATTCCTCCATTTTTTGTTAATTATTTATTTAATTTACATACTAAATTTAAAATGAAACAAAGATCTCTATCTAATTTCAGATTTTCTCTATAGAAAATAGAAGAAAGTCTATCATAAAACACTCTCAGCATAGTCAATAGTGATTGTGCTCTAAATCCAGAGAACGTCGTATGTTTAAAGGCTTCCAAAAAGCCAGGAATATTATTGTCAAAGGACAAAATATGAATGGTATTGATGGATTAAACTAACATTCTCTAAATCCTGCTTCAGAAACTTAATAAAGTGACAAAATTTAACTTTCACGAAGAACAAATTTATACCGGTTGTTTGCTTGTCCGCCTAAGAACTCACTAAGTTCTGGGATTAAAGGCATGTGCTGAGATACCCAGCTTCAATATGTAGTTTTTACAGAATAAGAAAGCAGGTCTGAAGTCAGGAATTCTGACTCCCCAGAGGACAGCCATACTGACTCTCAAAAAGAGCTAAAATTTAGGCTTCCATGCTTTCTTAAAAAAAAAAAAAAAAGAAGCTGTTTCAAACTAGAACAAGATATGGCTTGCCTATGGCATGCAATAATGTTTTCTTTATTACTGCATTACAAACACCAAGAGTGTCTACAAGTTAAAGAGCTGACTTCAAAAAGTACTTACTGAGTTGAGTAAATGGATGAATGAATAACATTATTATCTATTACTAGAGGTTATCTTTAGAAGATTAAATAGTTTTTAGTAGAACTATGAAATCAAAGGTGAGAATCTATAGAATTAAAATATAGTCTAATTTCTCAGTAATATAACCCAAGATATTTAAACATTCTATGTAAAAGATAGAAGTTATCTATATGCAAAGTTTTCTATATTAAATAGGTCAATTTCATTGTCATCTAGACTCAATCATAAAATAAAGGAATCGTGAGGAACAGGAAAAATTATCTAATCTATCCCAAATAACATTTTACATATAAGATTACTACTTCTTCATTTTAAAGCTTGAACTTCATGATGTTAATAAGAATACATATATATATATATATATATATATATATATATATATATACACACACACATGCAGTAACAATTAGAAAAGAGAAGGCCATAAATTTAAAAGAAAGAAGGGTCTGTGTATATTGGAGTGTTTGGAGGAAGGAAAAGGAAGGGAGCAAAGTAGATGATAAACTCACAAAAATGACAAAGTTCTATTTAAGATATGAATCTAAGACAAATCCCAAACTTTTCTTTCTTTCGTTCTTTCTTTCTTTCTTTCTTCTTTTTCTTTTTAGTTTGATTTTTAGACAGAGTTTCTTTGTGTAGGCTGGCTGTCCTAGAACTAGCTCTCTAGACCAGGTTGGCCTTGAACTCTCAAAGATCTGTCTGTCTCTGCCTCTGCAGTACTAGGATTAAAGGCGGCATGAGTCACCATCATCCAACTTAAAACTTTTTAATTCCAAAAGAAAAGGCTACAAAATTTCCCAGTCTTCTAATAAAGAGGAATCAAGCAGTACTAAAAAGCAGGAATGACTTTAGGAATGCAGAGAAAAAAAAAAACCATTTTGTGTAGAAATAAGGGCTGAAGAGATGGCTCAATGATAAGAGCAGCACAGGCTGCTGCTCCAGATGACGGGCTTCCATCCCTAGCACATCCACACAATTAACTCCAGCCCCAGCAGATCTAATGCTCTCTTCTTGCTTATACAACCACCAGGAATGCAGGTGGTGCACAAACATATATGCAGGCAAGACATTCATTAAAATATAAAATTAAGTAAGAAATTCAATGAAAAACAGTTTCAAAGAATCAAACAATACTTTAAGAGTTAATGAATGCCTATCACAATGTGAAGCACACTGATTTATCACAATGTGAAGCACACTGATTTAT